AGCCCCTCACCCTCCTCTCCGTCGGCCCCTCCCCCCCGACCGCAGGTTGGGGTGACGTCACACAGCTAGGCGCGCCCACCTGCGGGCGGGGGAAGGGCCGGCTGTTACCAATAGACCTTGAGAGGTCACCGCTGGTCTCCCCCTGCCCTCAATTCCTCTTTAGGTCCAATCCAGTCCCCTTCCTCAGCATTCTCTTCATTTTTCAGGTTCCCAAAACCTGGAAGCGGGCATAGGGTTGCGGATGTGGTTCTCCGAGGGGTTCAGGGACTAAATTCCAGATGGGAAAGGGGGCATGGGAGCGCAGTTCCTCCCTTTGCTGGATCATAAATTCACCAGGTTCATTTAAAGGGAGTTGGTCCTTCCTAGACCCCCGTAGGTCTCAGTTGAAGGAGGGCAAGGGGGCTCCTGGCTGGTGTAGTTAGAAGGGGCTCATCTGGGAAGGCTTCCGGGAGATGGCATAGAAGCTGCAGACTAGGGGTAACCTATCCCACTGAGCATGTTTTGCCTGTCCTAATCCCTAGGGCAGAAGATTTAGTAGATGGGTGCCAAGTTCTGGATTTTGTCCAGCTGACACTTGTCTAATTTCCATGCTTGTCTTGGAGGAGGGCGGTTCCCAGGGTGGGGCATCCCCTCCCCGCAAGATCTCGTGAACTGAAGCAAGACTCTTCTGGTCCTGACTTGTGCATTGCTCTCAAGGGACTTGTCCATGCTGTGTCATTTTCCATGGCTACATTATCAAGGAGTTTGGGTGAGAAAGGAGTGAAATATGATTTGAGACTAGAGGACATTTTTTAGAAACACAGGACTGCCTAGACTTAGCGTGTGCTTCCATCCTGCCTCGGAGAACTGGTGGGCAGGAGGGACTGAAGTCAGTGGTCACTAGGCAGTGGTGATGCTCGCCTTTAATCCTAGCACTCAGGAAGCAGAGGCAGATGGATCTCAGTGAGTTCTAGGCCAGCCTGGTCTACAAAACGAGTTCCAGGATAGCCAGGACTGTTTCGCAGAGAAACCCTGTTTTGGAAAACCAAAAAGAAAAAAAAGATCAGTGGTCAATTTTAGAGCCCAAGCCCAATGCTTTAGAATCAATGCTCTTGACTGATTTTTTTTTTTTTTTGAGACACAGTTTCTCTGTAGTTTTTGGAGCCTGTCCTGGAACTTGCTCTGTAGACTACGCTGGCCTCAAACTCTGAGATCCGCCTGTCTCTGCCTCCTGGGTGCTGGGATTAAAAACATTCACCACCACCACCCAGCTTTAACTGATATTTTAACTGGTGACTTACAGGGGTCATTTCTGGTGTCCACTATTGCTAGTGGACACTCTTGGACTCAGCATTCCTAGCCAGGTCAGTTTACTTATGTGGTATGCTAAGGAGCAGACACACGCAGCTCCCATGTGCAGAGGTCCAGTTCAGAAGGGGAAAGACTGGCATATTTTCACATCTCCCTAGACAGCTGCCCCTTGGCTTTATTCTCAACAGTGCCCTGGCCTACCGCAAGCCCGGAAGTCACCCAGGAAGTCACCCATATAAGTGAAGGCTCCTGTCTTCACACTTTTACGTAAACTCTGGGAGGCCATAGGTTCCAAGACCTGCAGAGGAGTCAGGGAGCTATGGCTCTTAGCGACTTCACCATGGGTGCTCTAATATGCCTCCTCTAAAGGGAATAGGAAGAGTGGTGTCTCAGATTATGTTTATGAGTGTTTTCCTGCGTGTATGTCTGTGCACCATATGTGTGTTTAGTACTGGCAGAGGCCAGAGAGGCATCTGACCCCCTGTCACCGAGTTACAGTCTTGAGCTTCCACATGGGTGCTGGGAATCAAACCCTGGTTCTTAAGGATAATCTAGCCAGTGCTTTTAACTATTGAGCCATCTCATTTGAGCTCTGTATTATTGTTTTATTAGTGTCTTATGTCGCCAAGGGCATCTTCCTCTTTTTTTTTTTCTTTTTTTTTTTAAACTTTATTTTATGTGCATTGGTGTGAAGGTGTCAGATCCCCTGCAACTGGATCTTCAGACAGTTGTGAGCTGCCATGTGGGTGCTGGGAATTGAACCTGGGTCCTCTGGAAGAACAGTCAGTGCTCTTAACCACTGAGCCATCTGTCCAGCCCCCTCCTCTGGTCTTTCTTACTCCACCTCCGGAGTGTTGTGATTACAGACATACAGTATTACTTCCATACAAACCTATGCAAAGTAGCGGTCTTAGCTACTCTGTAAATGCTTCTTTCTTTTTCTTTTCTTTTTTTTCTTTTTCTTTTTCTTTTTTTTTTTTTTTTGGTTTTCCAAGACAGGGTTTCTCTGTGTAGCCCTGGCTATCCCTCTATAGACCAGGTTGATCTCAGACTCGAGATCTCCTGAGTGCTGGCATAAAAAGCGTGTGCCACCCCCACCCAGCTTCTTTATTTTCAATAATTCCTCAATATGCAAAAGGGTGGGAAGATGGGTTCGATGCTGCAGAACTCTGGGACAGGCATGGAGATTTGGGACTCTTGACAGGGCAACAGATGCCTCGGGCAGTGGCATGAGGAGTCCTCATAGCCCTAAACGCTGCCTGCTGCTGGCAGGTTTTCTCTATTGCCGTGTTCGGGCCCATAGTCAACGAGGGCTATGTAAACGCGGACAGCGGTCCAGAGCTGCGTTGCGTCTTCAACGGAAATGCGGGCGCCTGTCGCTTCGGCGTCGTGCTGGGTCTCGGGGCCTTCATCGCCTGCGCTGCCTTCCTGCTGCTGGACGCGCGTTTTCAGCAGATCAGCAGCGTCCGAGACCGTCGCCGCGCAGTACTTCTGGACCTGGGCTTCTCAGGTGGGCGGGGCCGGCGGTGAGAGGCGTGGCCTAATAAAGAGTCGGGTAGGGCAGGACTTGGTGCGTTGAGCTGAAGGAGCGTGAAGAGGGACAGTTTGACTTAATCCGGGAGATCAAAGGGTCTTGGGGGGCGTGACTAGTCCTCTAAGAAATAGGATCGGGCATGCAGGCTGCCATGGGGAAGAATCCCATGGGGCTTCTTCCGGGGAATGTAACAGGTTTCCAGATGCACCTCAGGATTTTGAGCCCGTAGGACCCAATCACCTAGAGGTACGGAGGGAGCCCTGTGCTGGGAGCGCCGGGGGTCTCAGGGCTCATGGCTAACACAGTGAAAGGAATGTCTGAGGCAAGGACCAAGGGTGGGCTGCGAAGGGGCGGGATCTTGGAGGTCTTGTAAACAGGGATTTTCCGGTGAACCGGAGGGACCTTCTCTGAATGGTTCAACTAGACCACAGATCCTGGTGGTGGAACACCATCTGATCACCAGTCCCCATCTGCAGGGGTCTGGTCCTTCCTGTGGTTCGTAGGCTTCTGTTTCCTCACCAATCAGTGGCAGCGCACAGCGCCAGGACCAGGCACTGCACAGGCTGGGGATGCGGCGCGGGCCGCCATCGCGTTCAGCTTCTTCTCCATCCTCAGCTGGGTGAGTGCGGGTCCCGTGGGTAGTGGGACCTGGGGTGTCTCCGGGTTTGCCCCAGCTGACCCTGGTTCTTTCATCCAGGTGGCACTCACCGTGAAGGCCCTGCAGCGGTTCCGCCTGGGCACCGATATGTCTCTGTTTGCCACAGATCAGCTAGGTGCTGGGGCTGCTCAGGCCTACCCAGGCTACCCAGTGGGCAGTGGTGTGGAGGGCACAGAAACATACCAGAGCCCGCCCTTCACCGAAACCCTGGACACCAGCCCCAAAGGGTACCAGGTGCCTGCCTACTAGTAGCTGTTAGGCTTCGGCCAGGGCTGGAAGGCCACCTCACCATCGTAGGCCTCGAGGCCTCCTGGGACCTTTCCTGGGTCCTACCGTCCCAGTGCCAAGGACAGAGAAAGTGGCCACTGTGGGTCTCTGGGACCAAGGGGAGTAGCCTCCCTAGGATTCCTGGACTATCCCCACAAAGTTTCCCTTAGTTAGAGGTCCCAGTTCTAAGGCCCTCTGAGAAAAAAAAACAGTACTGCCTGAAGTGGGCTGTCCTGGGAAGCATTCCTTTCATGGGCCAGCCAACCATGGGCTCACCTGTCCACTCTAGGGTCAGAAGTCCAGCGGCCTTCCAGGGCAGGGTGCAAGGGCTTCTGAGGATAAAGGAGAGGGGAGCCTATTTGCACCCTTAGGTTATGGCCCTTGTTCCCAGTCCCATGTCTCTGTGGACAGTGACTGCCCTGGCTCCTATCATTGTGGTCCACCCTGTCCAGAGGCCCCCTCTACTTTCCTCTTGCAGGATTCCCTAGAGCAGCTCAGCCCTGTCGGTATTGTGATTGTGATTAAGTCTTCAGGTTTCATCTCATAGTGCCCCCATAAGCTGCCCCTCTCTGTGTGGCTCCTGCCCAGATGTGGGTGCTTCTGCCCAGGAAGGCATAGACAGCTATGGGCCTGGGTACCCACTCTTCAGTAAGACCTTCCCTAGGGAAGAGTGAGACAGCTGGGTACCTGGGTAACAGGCAAGACAAGCCTCTTACAAGGTCTCATCTGCCCAGGGTGTTGCTGAAGGGTCATTCCTGTAAATGGCTTAACCTTGCTTCCTGAACCAGTCCCCCCATTCTATTGTCCGTTCCCTTTTAAGGCCCAGACCAGGTCCCTGTGCGTAGCAAACTACTCATGCATTGCTCGAAGCTGGCTTTTCACATCAAGTCAAACCAAATGCGTTGCCATATCTCATTCTTCCAGACAAAATGCCTCCCTGTGGAGTTGCAGTTGAATGACAACCCTGTACGTTGTAGCATAGACCAGTTATGTGGATATTTAAGTGATCATGTTTACAATTTTTGTATATATGGATCTATTTCTCTCTCTTCTGAAAGAACAATCCGTGATTGTGTATTTTCAGTGTCCCCTGTTATAACTGCAACTTCTTTACAATAAAGACTGTAAATGCATTGGCCACAGCTAAGGTATTCCTAGAATCATTTCCACCCCACCCTACTGTGCTGAGGTCTGGGGTCTCAGGACATCAGGACCCAGAATTTGGGAGGGGGTAGGAAGATGGAAGTTAGGCTGACTACTAGGTTTTAGAGAAAGGCCACAGGACTATGATCCCTTAATAGATCACATTGGTCTGGTGAAATTTGTTACTCAGTACAAGCTCTCTGAAATGCTGGAGACTGCTGTGGAGTATTAGCTGAAGATGTGTTACATTCGTTTATGCTGTGAAACATTTGTTTAATGATACAAAGATGTGCTGCATTTGTTTAACTCTGTGAAGCTGTTACTGTGCCTGTCTAAAACACCTGACTGATCTAATAAAGAGCTGGATGACCAATAGCTAGACAGGAGAGAGAACTAGGCAGAGCTGCCAGGCAGAGAGAATAAATAGAAGAGGGTGGAGTGAGAAAGGAGGATGCCAGGAGCCAGCCACACACCAGCAACAGAGTAAGAAGTAAATACACATAGATTAGAGAAAGGTAAAAGCCCAGAGGCAAAAGGTAGGCAGAATAATTTAAGAAAAGCTGTCTAGAAATAAGCCAAGCTAAGGCTGAACATTCATAAGAAAGAATAAGCCTCCCTGTATTTAACTGGGAGCTGGGTGGTGGGCCCCCAAAGAACAAAGAGTAAAAATAACCAACTACAGGAGACCCTCTCCTCTTTTATCCCTTTTCTTGTTTCCTTTTGTCTTTTTTGCTGTAGTGTGTGTACCTGTCAGTGTTTTGTTTTGTTTGAGACAGGGTTTCTCTTGTGTAGCCCTGCCTGTCCTGGAACTCTGTAGGCCAAGCTGGCCTAGAACTCAGAGATCTGCTTGCCTCTGCTTCCCAAGTGCTGGGATTAAAAGTGTGTTTGACCATGCCCTGCCCACCCTTTAAAAAAAGATTTATTTTCGTTTTTTGTTTGTTTCGAGACAGGGTTTCTTTGTAACTTTGGAACCTATCCTGGAACCAGCTCTTGTAGACCAGGCTGGTCTCGAACTCACAGAGATCCGCCTGCCTCTGCCTCCCAAGAGTTGGGATTAAAGGCGTGCACCAACACCACCCGGCCTTCTTTTTGGTTTTTTAGAATGGGGTTTCTCTGTGAAGCAACAGACTGGCCTGGAACTCAGAGATCCTCCCGCCTCTACCTCCTGAAGGCCGAGATTAAAGGCATTCACCACCACTGCCAGGCTCAATGTCTTTTTCCCCCCTTTTAAAAATGTTTATATTATCTTGCTTTAGTAACTAATTGACCTGGTTGGTCCAGGCGGCTCCTTCCATTGGGTGACCATCAGTTCTGTTTTAGCTCTTTTAGATGTTAGGGTGCTATTCAGACCTGGCTTATGTGAACATCCCAATGTCCAGTTTGATACAGGATTGATGGCAAAGTGTGGAGGGTATATGGGTACCTGGGACATGAGCTTTGACCTCATTACTTTCTGAAGTCATTTTCCTAAGTCTCTGACTTTATTTGATCTTTGTAGTACTTTCTAGTTCCCTGGGGCTCTTTCCTTAGTCCTGTTAAGAAAGCTAGACTTGTAGGGTGGTGGCGGCGTATGCCTTTAATCCCAACAGAGGCAGGCGGATCTCAGGGAGTTTGACACCAGCATGGTTTACAAAGCAAGTTCTAAAACAACTAGGATTATGTAAAGATTCTATTTCAAGAAAGAAAACAAAAGAAAAACTCAAAAAACTTTCTGTGTGCGTGTGTGTAAACATTAGAGAACACCTGTAGGAGCTGTCTCTCCTACTGGGTAGGTTCTAGAGATCAAACTCAGGTTGCCAAGTTTGGCAACAAGCACCTTTACCCACTGAAACATTTTGGTGGCCCCGCCCCCCTTATTTATTTACTTACTTGCTATTTATTTAGCAAGCTTTACTCATCCATTTTATTCATTCATTTCTTCATTTATTGAGGCAGAGTTTTTCTGTATAGCACTGGTTATCCTGGAACTCGCTCTATAGACCAGGCTGGCCTAGAACTCAGATCACCTGCCCTTGTCTCCCATGTGGTGGGATTAAAGGTATGTGCCACCGCCTCCCAGCCATGTAACCCTATTTTTGAAAGGCACTTTCATTGATAATCAATTGTTAGGTCATGCACGGCCAGGTCTGTTCTGGGAAACCTGGGCAGTGCCTTAGCTCCATGTGGGACCCAGGGCTGCCAACCTCTTCCTTGCATCCCAGCATATCTAGGCTTCCTGATACACTCAGAGGCAGAGATACTCAGGACACCACCCATGTGCAGTACTGTAAAATAAATTTATTTGAAGATAAACTGTCTTTTATAAAATGTCAGAGGCAATTTGAGATCTTAGTTTAACTTGTCTCGTAAAAAGATTGAACTTCAAGTAGCACAATTTTGTGTGTGGTTTTAATCTGGAACATTCTCTCTGAAACAGCCAATTGTCTACACAACACACTTGACTCTGACTCCAGCACCAGTGCACCCGAAGCTGTCAGCTGTAGGCTCGACTCAGGAGGGCTCTTCAGACCACTGAGACATCTAGCTATGACCACAGGTTCAGTCCCGACATCCTAGTCCTTCCCTCCCCGGCACATCCCAAAATCCCAATACAAACCAAGACTGGCTCTCTGCCAAGCAGGGGACAGAACTTAAGTGATGGTGCACAGGGTACACCTTTCCTGATGCCCTCCTGGCAGGCCTGGATAACCAGGAGGCCTGAGCCTCAGCCTTCCCAGGGCCCAACCTAGTTGCCTGGCAGCTGGGAAGAGGAAGGAGGCGCTAGGGTGTGACAGCTCTTGCCCTCACCAGCAGGAGCTACGTAATGATCCTGGCAATGGCTTGAAGGGAGGGGAAGTCATCGTCCCGGGCAGCGTGCAGTGCCTGGTGGCTGCTGATGTCACCGTGTGCCAGTACCTGCTGGCAGGTGGGGCACACGCAGCAGTCCAGGCCCAGCTGTTGGGTGCTGGTCTGCCACACATTCTTCTTGTTCTTCTTAGACTTGGAGTTGGGAGGCTTCTCACGACTGCAGAAGTCAGTGTGTGCGGACAGCAGCTCCTGTTGTTTGGCTATGTCTGGTAGGAGCGCCAGCAGCTCACTGAAGATCTTTTGGAAGTTCTCCCCAAGCAGGTCTCGGCAGCTTTTGTAGTACTGAGCCGCAGAGATCATCCCCTGCCACCCAGAGAGCCACAGCCAGTCATTTTCACCCTGGGCAAAGACAGGCCAGCCTCCCAACTGCTCTCACCTCACCTGTCTGAACTCCCCTGAATGGCTCTTAAACTTGCTGAAGCAGGCCTCACTCTGCAGAAAGTCCTTGATGGACTGGATGAGCTGTAGGTTCCTCTCCCGGAAGTTCTCAGGAACTAAGTAGGCTCGTGGTGTGGGTGTTAGCCGGGGTCTGAGGTCAGATGAGGAGGCTTGAGCATTTAGGGTGACTTAGGTTGCACCCTCCCGTGAGTACCCAGTGGCCAGTGGCAGAAGGTCAGAAGGTCAGGGAGCCCACTCCACTTACGCTTTCATGGTGGTGGTGGTGGGACTGGGAACACAGGCTGAGTGGGAACTGGGCAGGAAACTGGAGAAGCCAGGGGGTGGCTTGCTGATGGGAGGCACCAGGCCTGGTGGGAGTGGGGGTGGAGACGGTGTACTCTTCAAGAGCACCACGGTGTTAAAGCCTGCAGGGTGACAAGAACCTCAACGTGGTCCCAACTGGTCCAGTTTTTCTGAGTGCCCAGCCCTGTAGCAGGTTCAGGAGCAGAACCCTATGTGGGGGACTCACCACTGTAGGGAACTCCCTGCCCTACAAAGCACTAAGAAGTAGTTAGCTGCCAGGGTGGCTCCTGCATCCTGCAAGTTTCCTCTACGGGAGAACTGGGAGCCCACTACACATCCCCACCGTGGGCTGACCCCCAGCCTGACACTAGGACGCTAGCACTTCTTAGAAACCTGAGGAACCCATTGGCACTGGACACACATACCTGGGGGAGGAGGCATCCTGGGTGGACAAGGGCCTCCAAGTGCTGGGAAGTCCTCCTGTGGTAGGGGGCAAGGGAGGGGACCCAGAGGTCTCGGAAGCCCTGGGGGCTCCTTTGGGGTGTTCCGTGCCAGGGCTGGCCCCTCTGAATGTCCATTGACAATGGTTACTGGCACCTCAGCTTTGTTTAAAGAGGATTCAGGGGCCTGCTCAGCCCCAGAGGGCTTTGGGATGTGATCAGGGGGCAGCAGTGAGGACGACGCAGGTCCAGTCTTCTCAGAGCCCACCTTCTTCTTCTTGCCAACCTTGGTAGAACTCTGGTTGGCAGTTGGTGCCAGCAAAGAAGAGACAGCCACTGTGGTGGGCACACTCCGAAGCTCCTGCACAGTGAGGCCACCACCCTCCTCCTCATCCACTGGGGCTGGGCCACCCTTCCGGCCACCCCTGCTCCCTTTCCCTGCCTTCCGGGGAGGCTGGCTGCCACCAACTACAGCCTGGGCCCCTGGTGTAGGTGGGTTCCCTTTCTTGCTACAGCTGCTGTTCCAAGCTGAGATGAGGCTAGAGGGGGCACTGCTGGGCTTGGGTGCTGAGGAAACCAAGGCAGGGAAGTCCTCTTCCTGGAAGGTGTTCTTGCCCCTGGGAGGACCAGGATAAGCCAGTGCCAGGCCCACAGAGCCTGGGGTAACCGCTGTGCAGGAGGAAGTGGAGGCACAGAGACTGGGGAAGTCTTCATCCTTGAGCTTGGGGTTAGGTGGTGGGAGGGTGCTGGATCCAGGGAAGGGAGAACTGGTCAGTGGTTCATCAGCAGGACTTGTCTATCACAGACACCACACCCTCCTTCCCAATTCCCAAACATACTTTGAGGGGGCAGCCACTGGTCCTGGGCCTGTGGTTGGGAAGGCTTCTTGGCTTACAGGACCGTTTGTTGAGGCTTCCTTGGAGCCTTACAGACATGAAATGAGTTCAGGTGAGTCTGTGAGAACAGGCTTGGGGAAGATGAGATGCTGACTAGGAGCTGGCAGCTTTTCCCACCCAGGTGGGTTGCTGTTA